ACTCATGACATGTGTTAGCAGTAGATGATGCTGTGATTTGACTCATTCACCCTTGAAATTTCATATTGAACTATTCCAACATTTGAATTGGAAGAGTTCAAATGTGTCTGCAGGGGTGAATGAGTTAAACTGAGCGCTATAGCAGGCCAGTTGTAGAGAGCCTAATCAAGCGGCAGATGAGAAAAAACTCTTGTACTCTTGTCTGCCCGGGAGTGTTTGTACTTCATCCATATATTACATTTATCACCAGTTTGTCCCTAATGACCATCCTGGTCCCGTGGTGTAGACCATGAGAATTATTGTTATTTGCACACTTAGTACCAATGAGTCAGGCTGAAACTGTTTCTTGTCTCAGTGCCCGACTTATTGATACCTCCGGCCATTTCTCTATCCGATTTATGTGGTTTGTGTTTCTGATAGTCCTCACCTCATCTGTCTGCACCGAAAATAACTTACTCAAAATCTCATCACAAAATCATCAGTTTAAAGGTCAAGGTCATGGCTATTGGCTCAATGTCGGATTTAAGATGGTCTCCATGATATCAAATTGACACATTTTAAGCTCACCTATCGCAAAGTGTTTGTGACGTTATGCCATAGCCAAGAATTTAACGGTTTGTCTGTCAGTCTACTAGTCCAATGCCAATTTTTCTTTATTCCATTCACCCCTGAAGTTACCTTTGAAACCTATCAAATCAAAGACTGGGAAAGTCCAGTTTAAATATGTAGCGGTGAATGAGCAAAAAGACTACTAGTCCAGGATGGCTGAGGGAATTTGATTATATATTTGGTGTGGAGCATCCCTAGGGCAAGGAACTTCATTGTGTGCAATTGAATCATGTGGATCTTATGGGGTCAGATTGGCAGATGTGACCCTACAAGTTTGGGCAAAGGAATTTAATAATTTCTGGGCCTAGGAATTTTATCATACGTGTAAGTGAAGAGTGACGTGGCCCTCTTGAGGTAGAGAGGAGAGGCCTTATAAAGGGATTTTGTGTAAACTTTAAAAGACTACTCCTAAGTATGAGTAAAGGAATTTTAACCAGATTTATGTATGAAGCATCTCTGGGCCCATGGGATTTCAATGTATATATGAATTGTAATGCCCCTGTTGCTTCTCTTTGGGGCAGAGGGGCAGGGCCTGAAAAGGGAAATAGCGGCAAATCTTTAACAGCCAACTCAGTAAAGTAAAGTAATGAAGTAAAGTATAACTTTATTTGGTAAGAAGCCAGGGCCAAGGGAATTCATTAGTATATCAAAGGTGTGATCCTCTCTGGGCATAATATCACAACTAATAGGGGAAGACCTTTGTGTGTTAAGGGGGATTGTTTTTTCAACCACCTCTATCAAATAAAGTTAGGTATATTTGATTAAATTTGGCTTGAATCATTCCTGGACCAAGGAAAGTCTCACTTTGAATAAGATGAAGAGCAATTGATCTTCTCTTAAGAAAAAGGATGGGGTACAATCAAATTTTTCTTAAGCCAATTGACCTATTTAACTCATTCACCCTGAAAACACATTTGAACTCTTCCAATTCAAATGTTGGAATAGTTCATTATGAAATTTCAGGGGTGAATGAGTTAATTGATACAAATAAAACAGGTCAGCTCGTAACAGACCTCATGGGCCTCTTATTTACTTCTTAATGAGTACTGGTGAGGGAAACAAAGACCATTTACCCTAATTATGTACAAAGTTGAAGATCCTGCCTTGTTTTGTTTTATACAGCTGAATTTGTGCTGTGAACTTTCTGTGTAACTTGGAAAATCTTGCCAACAGCAAGCACTTTCATATTTCATAACATCCTGTGTCCATTGACTTACATATATATATGTAATCATTATCATAATGGTGATTGTGTGTCTTAATGTAAGTGCATATTGAGGTGCTTGGGTCATGTAAGGACATTTGCCTTTCCAATAGTAACACGGGAGGATTAAGGAATAAATAGACACCACACTAAAATCAATAGGATACTGGAGAAAGGTCAGTATTGGAGTCTTTATATAGGTATCAGGTAAGTCTGTGGTATATAGGGTTATAAAGACATGGAATTTGTCACTTCTGTAGAATCAATTGAATTCAGGAGACTCTCTGCTTAGATTTTAGTTTTATTCAGGTCGGAGACATCTGTTGTACAGGTAAGGTAATAATTGTTTGTATAATTCAAGAACCATTAACCAAGGGTCCGCAGCCCGGCGGTGCGTTGGATTAGTGGCGATTCAGTCGTCCAAATAAATTCCTTTTTATAATCTGAATCTGTGACTTTTAAGTATATTTTAAGTACAATGAAAACATAAGGTGAACTAATCATGCGCCACATGACCATAGGGTGTTTTGGGTGGCGCAGTGGATAGCGTACTTGCTTTTAACTAAGATGGCAAGGGTTTGATTTCTTAATTGGATGGTAAAAGGTATCGGGTCACCTGCTGGACCTTGTGGGTGTTGTCCGAGTACTCCGGTTTCCTCCCACATGAAGACCTCCAGAAAAAATCATAAAGTAATGTGATTATATGTGGGCATGTGTACATGAAATATTGAATAAAGGGTAAAGTTTTGTTTATGCTGGTGATAGACTTTCTCAAGTGACAAGCAGGTTTGTAAAAAAACATTGATCTATTATACACATTCCAAAAATAGTATAATAGTGTCATATTGCATCCGCACCACAAGCATACAATAAGCAAGTCACGTTTACATATAATTATCAAAACATATTAGATGGTATGTCGTGTCTTGTATGGTGGCTAATTAGGGCCATGTTTGCTTTTTTGCATTTTGCTGCAACAAAGCAAAATTAATGCTGTTTCATATCCTCAAATGGCTGTTTGTCATAGGGACAAAGTGAAAAGCTTGATTTCATTTTTCTAAAATGGCGCTTCATGTTTGTTCAAATTGATGACCTCGACTTAAAAGGAAATGTACTTCTGAAGAAGATCCATGAGGTCTACAGTAATACGATATTGGGCCTGCATCTTGCTGGTGGGAAGGGCTCTAAAGTTTGTCTTGACCAATTTTGAGCTCACCTATTCGGATACACTTATAAATTTAAAATATGTCAAGACTAGAAAATGTCTGTAAGACATAAATGCCCCGCTGCCATGTGAAATTAGTTTCAGTGTTCTATAAAAAGTTACAACCACTTTCATAAGTTGATTTTAATATTTATATGTTTTTTCTGTATGTTATTACCATCCTGAAACACAACAATGTCCGAAGTATACTCATAATTGACCTTTGCATAAAGTGTAACCGAAATCCGCGAAAGAATGAAGTTGCTAAATGTTTAAATTGAATCAGTTGATGATTTTCTATATATAGCAACAGTGGCCTTGGCCTTGGAACCCTGAAACACATACTTGACCTTTGTATAAAGTTTGACCAAAATCCGTGAAAGAATGAAGTTGTGAAGAGTTTAAATTGAATCACTTGATGATTTTCTATACATAGCAACAGTGACCTTGTCCTTGACCTTGGAACCCTGAAACACTTGGATGTCAGAGGTATGCCCATATTTGACCTTTGTATAAAGTTTGACCAATATCTGTCAAAGAATGAAGTTGCTAAGTGTTTACATTGAATTGGGACCAGACGCGACGGGACGGGTGTTTACATTGAATCGGGACCGGACGCGATGGGACGGGTGTTTACATTGAATCGGGACGCGATGCGACGAGATGGGAGGGGACGGGATGGACATGGGCAACACTATATATGCCCCTCCAGTTAATGGCGGGGGCATAAAAAGGAGAGCTAACGTCACTGTACCCAAGTTGGGACACTTTTTAGATAAATATCAATGTTCTTTATACCATACTATCAGTTCCAAAAATGTTTGTTCATTTTTCATAAATAGATACTATCCACTTTTCATTTCTATTACAAGTTGATATTTCAGGTGCATGGTTCTATAAATAAACTGCGAAACACCACCAGGGTTACATAGGCCCTTGAACCGGCATAGTTGTACCCTGAAAGGGACACTTCGGTATTTCGGCTTAGATTTAAGGATAAACAATCAATATCAGCAGTAAAGCAGACATATTTCAAATATTTTTAGAGTCTAACAGGGTTACAATTAAATTTCATCTCCAAACTAGCATTAGTTCTGATAAAATAGACTTTTGAAAATGATATCAAAATAAATGGCGTCGCACGGTACGGAAACCGGGAATGTTTTGTTTTGGTCATTATTCTTACCTGTAAATTGTCCATGTAACAATAATCAGCAGCCAATAAAGCTTACATTCAGTTAAATTGTCATAAAAGTATTATCAAATGAAAACTGTATACATAAAATTACTTCTTTGCATTGAATGACAGTTTCTTGTGCCGTTTTCCCATAAGTGTCCCGTTTTGGGTACTGTCCCGATTTTGGTACAGTGACGGTGTGTTGTTCTCTATCAGCTCTTGTTTTGCAGCTTGGAGGGATATAACACACAGTCAAATTTGTTAAATTAAATGACCTAACTAAGGTGGGGGGAGTAAATCAAGTTAAATCTCACATCAAAGATTGATTATTTGTAGATGAATGAGTGTCAAGTTTATGTTAAACATTGGAAGTATTGAATAACAGGTTAGTGATAACCATTGACTGGTGTACAACTCGTTCACTGTTTATCTTTCATATTTTATCTCCTTAACTCACAAAGGGAGTTAATCCTAAATTTGGGTATCTCATGAAAGTTAATTTGGAGGCAAAATCAATTATTGACATTTAGCTGTTGTTATTTATTCTCACAATTCTTACAAATAAGTTGTGTAAAGAATGATCACAAAAATATGTATTCACAAAAACTGATTTACAGTTCACCGGATTTCTCCTGTTTCTATAGGTTTGTGATGTTTTGTTACAAAATTCATAGACAAAGGGACAGATATATATACTACAGGTTGTCAGTTCTCATTTTGAATGTGATAGCTGTTATGTGTAGTCTGATTTCCTGAAATGCTCATGTCTCACTTTTGGACTGAAATTTTGCTGTTTTTGTTTACAGACATGACACGGGAGATGTCTGCTACAGCTAAGCTGACAAGTTAAAGAGGCTCAGACACAGCAGTTGGACTTGATCTTAATTTGCCAACATGGATTTCCTGCGGAGGCGTTTATCACAAGGAGGCAGTAGCGATGAAGAACAGCGATCTTCGTCGTCAAGTATCTCTGAGGGAACTTCTAGATTTTTCAGCTCTGTTGTTGCAAAAAAGAATGGATTATTGAACAACATTTCCTCAAAGATCGAAAATGTTGGTGCACGTCTAACGAAGTCTTCAAGTAGTAGTTATGATTCAAGCAGTGGTGAAAACAGTCCCACATTTCTCCCGACACCACCTAGAGAGAAATCAAAAGATCTGTTGTTTCCTGAACAGGATAACTATGACACAAAATCAGTAACTTCTATTGCCTCAACTATAAACCCGAGTGTTCAAATTCAATATGGGCGGGATCGACACGACAGCTCTTCGGGATATTCCGACAGTAGTGGAAACGCTGATAACCACTCTTTATCGAATATAAACATGAGCTTCGAGGAACCACTCTACTCTCCGACAAGTAAAATACCAGGGGAAACCACCGAACCACGGTACGATCATCAATTCATAGAAAAAAGTGCAAATGAACGTAACGAAAAAGATAACATTCAATCTAATAATGGAAACAACCACCAAGTGGTCGCTGATGTACATGTCGACCAATCAAATTTCATCGAAAGACAAAAAGTAAGCCCTGGACACATAAAAAGTCCATCATCTGCAAGTGTATCTTCACCTGATTCGGGAAAATCAACACCTTCAGAAAATTCTCGTAAAAATGCACCTCGACAAAGAGCACCAAAATTTACGACGACAAAGCGTAGGTCGAGCACAGTGGATGAAATGCTTTTTGATGATTACGTTTCGCCTCCTGAGGAGGTCGAACAAAATGATGAGGCTGCAGATCAGGTGGGGGCATTGGTAGAACCGGATTCAAAGAGTGCAAATCGGAGGAGTCTGATCCCTCTTGGAGACCTGATGTCCTTTGACGATGACCAGGAAAGTGAAAAAGATATGTTAAACAACAAACAAAAGATCCAGCCCACCAACAGAGATAACACCACCCACACCGAGGACGTGACAAACCACCGAGTCTCCCTCGACCAGAGTACATGTAGTGTAGACAGCTCTGACTGGGGAGGCTACGACCAACAGACCAGTGTTGAGTCGTCAGAGAACGACTTTGGAGGGTATCAGGTACGACACAGGACAGGCTCAATGGGGTCAGAGAACTCCTGGAGCTCCTCCTACAGTATAGAGAGCCAGCCGGACGATATCACACTGGAATGCATGAGCTTTATGAAACAATTTGTGGAGAAAATCTTCAACATCAGGTAAGTTTTGTACAATGTTAGTGTATTTGGACAGGTAGGTTCTACAGGTAAAATCCAGGTATATACATTTTACATACACAGATCGCCTTTTAAAGTATCAATATAGGTATTGATAGTAATTTTTGCAAAATCATGAAAAATAGCTAGGTTTTATCAATGGAGACTGCTTTTCAGTAGCTATATTTTGTGCTTTTGTAGTTATTTTTAGATTGTCAATGAAAGAAAATAGGCTGTTTGATCAATTAATATTACAAACTGCCATGTATCCATTGAAATAGAGCCTAGGGCATGTTGATATGACAATTTATACAACTTGCCACATATTACTACAAAAACCTTGTCTTGATCCATTCATCTATAAAGAGTGTTAGTTCTAAAACTTTTAAAAGTTTACTCTCTGAGCTACGTATATACACTGTACATGTAGTCTGTCAGACTAGGTATACAGGTTAACACTACTACTGGTAATTTTAATCAATTTCTCTGTTGTAAAATCATTGTTCTGTTGAATGTGATCTATTTTCAAAACTTGCCGACAAGTGTCGTCTGCTATTCACCTTTTGTGTCTTGTAACAGATGGTTGAGCACATGATATAGAGGGTTAGGTCATAGATACTGTATACCCTTGAACTTTAAAGGTACAATACTCCATGCCGTTCTCAGAATGTTAAAAGCATTTTGACAGATAAAACAGGTTTAAGTGATTTCAGTGAGAGTGTCAAAACTTTATATAACGAAGGTCAAGTTCCAGGTCAGCAGGTATACGCTGATATAATCTAACAGTCTCAATTGAGAATTTATACATACTGTATTTATCCCTACATATATACATGTATAACTGGTTTTAATTGGAAAGCTGGTAGAGCGGCAGACTAGGAATTTGGGGATCACCCGGGTTCTGTCCTTCAGATTTGAACAGAAACACAGTAACATTAACATTAACTTTCTTCTCTATGTAAATATGTATTTATGCAACACAAACCAAACATTTATACGCTGGAGGATGTTGAAAAAAATATCAAATGATTTGTGCCGTGATGAAAACACTGTTATTCCAGTTTTGTTTCCCCACATTAAAGATAATTTTGCAATTTTATTGCTGGACAATGTATATTCATGAAACAGACAATAGTGTACATGAATCTGTTGATTTATTTCTTTTCATGTTTAATGACATTCATGAATGTTGATGAAGTTTATATGATACATATACACATGTATCATACAACATGTTGTTCTGAGTAATTCTTACATGACCATTATGTAACAAAAGTTTTCACCAAAAGTCCATCCATTCCCGAAATATCCCTCCCCGATACCTCCAAATAAGGATCTATCCATGGAACATCAAACTAACCATCCATCCCTCCACCTTTCCATCCATCCATCATTACCTAGTAATCTTTCACAATATCCAGCCATACATTGCTCTCAACCGAGACTATAACCTTTACCAAAGTACTGTGGTTACCCTATTTTCTAATATACACCCACTCACATCCCTAACTCATACTGCATACAAACATTTGCACCACCTTAGATACTAATGTAGTGGAACTGGACTGGGTCGACCACAAATTACCAGGTAGCTCAATTGATTAGAGTGTCAGTCTAGATTTCAGAGGTCCTGGGTTCGAATCTCAGTCTGTGCGCTTTTCTCTCCTGTTAAAGTGGTTCCTGTATACGTAATCCCAACCCCTTGTTTCAAGTACCGAGATCGTTATATTTTGGGGAGATCTCGACAACTGCTGGTGACCTGGTAGCTAAGTCAATTTGTTAGAGTGTCTATCTAGAGTTTGCGGAGGTCCTGGGTTCAAATCTCTGTGTCTAGCTGTGAATTTTTCTATCCTGTTTCAATAGTATCCATCCCAACCTCCATACTAACCCATGCTCAACCCTGGATACCTTACCTAACACAACCCTACCTCCCTGGATACTAACCTACACACCACACTGGATAGTAACATTCACCCTAACCAACCCTGGATACTTATAAAAACCACACTAACCCTTCTCTGGATGCTAAGCTGAACCCTACTTAACTCTGGATACTTACATAAACCTGCCTACCCCGGGGCCCCCTCCCTCGATACAATGCTCTAGTAAGAATGATTGCATTACAAATATCTGAGAGACCTTCAGCATGAAAACCAAGGTCACCAATGTGAGTGTTAAGGTTAATTGATTGATCTCCTGTCTGGGTTCTACATATAGTACTGAACTGTTGCTTCCCTTGGTGGTACCAGAACATTAAGAACAGGTGTGTTTTGTGTCTGACTGATGTGACCAGTGGGGTATCATCTGAGTGAGGTCATTTGATTAGAGGTCACTTCTCTACAGCTACACAGGATTCATCTGTCTACCTACTGGTATTGTGTACCTTAATACCTTTATAAACCGATTAAACAAACATTAAACACAAACCAACACCAGGGGTAGATCCAGAGGGCCTCCTTCCCTCTCTTACTGCCCCCTCCACCTCTCTACATCAAACCAAACTACATTTTCACTTCCTCTTTCTGTATATCTTACAGTCATATAAGTCATACACTGTCCTGAATACCATTGAACAAATGAACTTTCACAAGAATCGCCGTGACACTAGGAAAGCTTGGACGAGTTCTTTCCTGGAGGGGGAGTAATAAATTGTCACTGTAGTCAAAAACTAGCCACTTCCTACTGACTTGGCTAGGGAGAATTCTCTTTAGCTAATTCAGTAGAATGTTATACTAGTAAACCAGAGGTTCTGGGTTGGAGTCCTAGGGGAGGCATTGGAAAAATAATAACCTCTGTTATAGAAGGACATTGAAAATCAAATCATTTCTTGTTTGACATCAAATTTCCCTGCCAATGAGTGTGCATGCAGACTATAAGGGATCCTGTCAAAAGAATTAATGCTCCTGTCTCAAAAAACAATTTGATACAATATCATGCTGAAAGAAAAACAACCCCACTGTCATTGAAGCTCCTTGACTTATATGGACCTACAGTTGTATGTGAATGCTAAGATTGAGAAGAAGAAAAACCTTTCAGTGTTAATCATGTGATGTACCCAATGTTCAGGCTGATATTCAGCAATATACTGCTGATACACAATAAACATATAAGCCATCTATCAGTGCTAATATTTATCATTGTCCGCAAAAAGATTATTGGAAATGCAATCTGTTCATGGACATATTGGCTGTCAGCTAGTGACGACCAGAAAAACGGATAATCGGAAATATTCCATTTCCGGAGTTGGGATAAAACGCCATCCATAAAGAGATTCCGCCATGGACAGATCCTCGCACATGTTTTAGTCATGGGTAGGTTTGCCGAATGAGATGTGTTCGTACATTTTTCTTAAGTATTGATTCAGGATAGTGTTCCCGATACCTTTTTGTGGTAGAAACTTATACAATTCATTGATGTCATAACGGTACTGTTTGTCTCTATATGACGTGTGTTATTGATAAATTTGGTTTACAATCTCATATTGATTTTCTATAAAACGATAAGGCAATACTACAATTTGTGTGCTTTGCCTCTAGAATAACAGTAATGATCTTGCACCCTGTCTCAGTGATGGCTGTTAAACTGATCAAAGTTTTTATATTTAAATTAAGTTCGGAAAGGCAGAGCGCTAAAGAGACCGGATTTATTATATACTGGGAATACCACGGATGTACATCTTGAGATGTTGAAATAAGGGCTGCATAACAAAAGTAGGGCAATGCGACCTACTTATTGACACATAAAATACATCAGAGGCAAACCCTGTCCAGAGGGTATTATAACATGTCTGAGTATCGTGTAACAAAATGATTCCTAGTGATCTACTCAATGATCTGTTGAGGACATCAGAAAAAACCTTTTGACACATAATCTGTAGGATTGCTTTATATATATATAGATCACCCAAAATTGGTATGGAGTTTTATCTTGAGATGACAAAGTATCCAATACCAAAATTAAATCAGCGCGACCTATTTCTTGATTTGTTTTCAAAATCAATTGACAATCTTGTCAAGAGCATAACTATGAACCTGATATGTTGGGTCAACAAAGCTGGTACGATTGTACATACTGGAATTGGATTATGGCCGAATATGGCATAACAAAAGTAGGATGCTGTGATTTTATTGACCTATTTAGGGTATGAAATAAGGACATTGTCTGGAGCACATCTTTCAATGATTCAATGAAGCATCACAAAATCGACATGGCAGATCACTCTGGGGTGGAAGAGTGTGGCATTACTGATACCATAATTATTCCAAAAAACGCACTCTTGACCTAATTTTGCTTGTATGAAGATCATCAGTAGAAAACATTGATTATATCTCTCACCTATTGTAATGGTATTGCGACAATTTATAACAGAGTATATTTTTATATTTAAGGTTTTGAGAAGCACTTTGTACAGATATACAATGTATATCAAAAATAGGATTTTGCTGGTACATGTAGCTTATTGGTCTTGAAAAACTGGCTCTTGATTTTATGTAAGCTGGTTTATAAATAACTATTAATTTGAACATGTTATTTTTAGCTCACCTGGTCCAAAGGACCATGGTGAGCTTATGCCGTACCGCAGCGTCCGTCCGTCAACTTTTCCTTTAAAATGCTACTAATAAGTCCTGAACAGCCCAGTAGATTTTGACTAAATTTGGCCTGGAGCATCCTTAGGCTAAGGGTTCTTAATTTTGTACAAACGATGGGTGTGCCGCCCCCCCCCCCCCCCCCCCCCCTGGGGGCAGAGGAGTGGGGCCCAATAGGGGAAATAGAGGTAAAACCTATAAAATTCTTCTTCTACCATGGGGATGAAGGGATTTTATCCTTATTTTGTCTGGAGCATCCTTGGGCCAAAGGACTCAATTTTGTATAAACATAGGGGGTGGCCCCTCTGGGTACAGTGTTACGGGGCCCAAAGGGTTTGAATCTTTAAAGTCCTTCTTCTTCAGTACTGTTGTAGGGATGTTTTGTATTATTATCCGGGTGAGCAATACAGGCCCTCT